TTCCATAATAGCCGGCAGGACTGCCGCTGTGCAAGCCTCGCTGTGGACAATGTGTGTCTCTGTTCATTGTGTCCGGCTGTTGTCGAGTGGGTACCGGGTGTAGTGGTTGTCAGGCTTGTTTCCTATCCGTGGGGTCACGAGCTCTAGCCTCGGCTATGCTGAGTGAGTGGTGTTCCTTAGTTGCTCGACCCGAACACCCTAAGTAGACCACGACCATATGACATACTCTCATACATATCATTCGCAATGAACCTGCCAAAACATAGTGCAAAACATATGAAGATGACAAGTAACTAGACCACAGCGTCATAAAGCAATGGAATAAACAAACAAACTAACATATATTTTTTTTGAGATGAAGGACCGGAGCCTGAAGCTGGCCACTCGACCTCAATGTGTGTGTTGTGATGGTGAATGAATGGAGTTTTGACTTTACGTGCTCTATACGCCTTCATGCTCTAATTTGTACTTCACGAATATTCAGGGATGCATTAGTAAAATATATATACAGTATATATATATTAGTTTATAATATTTCAATTGCTTTATGTTCTTATAATTAATACGAAACTTCATTAGGTAAATATTTATTTCATTAGCGCTGATCTAGTTGATGAAGTGAGGACTCGAGCAAGGCGGCTCAGTCGGTAACGCTTCCGATTTGTATTTGCGGGGTGCTCGGTTCGAATTGGGGCCGGAGCATTGCCTATCCTGAATGAAAATTTTCTTAGATTTCCTCAGAGATTCCATGAAGATGCCGGTTTCGCACCTGTAATATTTTTCAGATCACGAATCGCTATCGTTCAAGCAATTTGAGCTACTCGTGGCTTCATTTAACAAATCACAAACAAATGAAATAAAATAACACTAGACACGATAGGAGGGACACACATGTAGACAGAGACTGGTGGGAAGGATTTATGAAGTATGCCCCTGAAATGAGCTCAGGTGCCATGATGTACACACCAGGTTTCATAAACATTGGTTCAGCCGTCCAGAAGCAGATGGGGGCGGGGAAGATACACAGACAGCATGGAGATCACATATGCCTACTTTCATTTTTTTTTTAAATAAGGAAAGTAGGCTAAAAAGGGGCAGCTGCCGCTACACTTTTGCATAGAAACAGATCAAGTGACAGCGAACTCAGCAGAGCAAGCGAAAGACGAGCTCAGATGCAGGTGTACAACCCTCCCTCCACCCTATCGCTCTACCCAGGCTAGCCACCACTGCTGCAAGCCTTGAGTGGGGTTATCGCTAGTCTGTACGTTTCTTCAGATCAAATAACATACAGCAGCGCTGTGAGACGCACAAATCCTGCAAGTCAGAATTGTCGCAGGGAGTTGGAACGTGAGAAACAAGTCTAAGGAAATCTCCCAAGAAGAAATTCATGTCACGTTTAGCTACAAATGTGTTTACCTCTGTTTGATGGACTGACCCAAATGAATGCACTTCAAGTACCCACCGTAGCTTACGCTGATACTCGCTTGTCCCTTTATTTTTTCTTTCTTTCTCCCTTCGACATTCATTCTTCATCTTCTTCTTCTTCTTCTTCTTCTTCTTTTTCTTCTTCTTTTTTTAATTTGCTTAGTAGGGGGTTGAGTCCAGCTGGGTCCACCGGCCACTGATTGGCCTATTGTACCTGCCCCGGGTGATTATGATGATGGAGAATTTGGAGGAATGAAAACTGGCAAGGGGAAACTGAAGTACTCGGAAAAAATCCGCCCCAGCTCCACTTTGTCCACCAGAAATCCCACTTGACCAGACCCGGGAACGAACCCAGACCGCTGCGGTGGGAAGCCAACGACTAACCGCTTGAGCAATGGCGCAGCCTTCGTCTTCTTAATGTCTCACATTCGACGCCATGAAGTACATAGTATTCAGCGGTACTCAGTTCATGCCATGTATTCGGTAGGTAGGCTACCTGCTTCGAATCCTCGGAGGACTGCAGGCAATCCAGAGATTTCGTTCGGTACAAGCTACGCAAAATCAAGTTCATACTACATATACAATATATGTATAAACACAGGGGAGAGGCGTCTCCAGAGTTCCTATATATCTGGGAGCCATTTCTAAAAGTATGAGTGGAAATAAAAACCAGATTACCTCTGTTGAGGAATTTGCTCCTTTCAAAGTTTTCTTTAAAAAGTAGGCAAGAGGAGGGTCTCGTGTGGAAGCTATATCAATTTATATATATACAGGGTGTTTCACGACTTTAGGGCATAACTGCAGGAGGTGATTTCCTAGGCCTTTGTGATCAAAAAAGTTCATA